TTTCCTGGGGCGTTTTTCGTCTCTTTTTTTTTTTTTCTCTCTTCTTGCAGGAGGTTTGGACAACCGTTTTCTCGGTCCCCCTCCTAGGAGCGGTATCTATGCCCTTGGATTTTGGTGCTTTTTCTTCTTTTAAGAAGATATACAGCACGCATACGAAACAAAGCTTTCATGCTGGGTATATGGCACACACCTATACCCGCATTTTCGTTTTTGTTTCTATCCAAGGGAACTCTGCACATGCTCTTGGGCCGGCAACTTGCAATCTTTGCAAGGACAGCCAGCCCAGGCGTATAGTAGGCAGACATCAGATGAGATCTACATAAGATAGATAGTTGGCGTCTCGTTGCAGCCAGCGTCGGCGCAACGTTTCATCTGATATACTTTGCTCCTCATACCTGTTTTTCCGAATGTTCGCTATTAATACCTTGTCACCCGCGACACGCTTGTCTTCCGTCACTCTGCCCCAACCTCCATAAAACTCATCGAAAAGTTGCCCCCAGCCGACCGCCAGATAGCCCTCGGTGCCCACAGGCCGTCGTCGGACAGAGGGAAGACGGTGGTGAGGTTGAGCTGCCGGCCGCGCCCCACGACCATCAGCGCCATCAGGCGGGCGGGCCCGCCCACGTAGACGGCCTGGGGCGCGCTGTGCCCGTACACGGCCAGGTCCTCCCAGCCGCCGGCCTCGCCGGGCGCGTCGGACCACTGGCCGTCCTTGAGGCGGCGGTGCTTGAGCCTGTCGTCTGAGCCTACATCTCTGGCGGGTTAGCATGGTTCCAAGAGAGACTCTTGTGGCGGCGTATGGAACCAGAAGAAACAAAAGAGAGGAAAAAAAAAAGCATACCTAAAGCAATGACCTCGATCGTGCTCCCCGTATTAACCACAGTCGGCGTGCTCTGGAACCCAGCTCCCCAATCGAGCGGATGTTGTTCCAGCCCGTCGCCTCGGTCCAGTTGCTGGTCCAGATCTGCCCGTTGACGCCCAGCCCAAAGAAGGCGAGCTGGTCGTCCCGCGCCGCCACGGCCACGGGGTCGGCCGCGAAGTTGGCCGGCTGCACGGTCGCGGCGAGCGAGGTCTGGTACACGGCCGTCTTGTGCGCGTACAGGAGGTCGTACAGCGGCGTCTGGTCCTGGGCCGACTGGCGGCAGACGACGGCGGGGACCGTGGACGACGGGTAGCCGTGCGAGAGGGATTGGTCCCAGCTCGACATTTTGGGGCTGCTGGATCCGGCTGTCATTGTTGTTTGGGCATGCAGGAAGCCTTGGGCGCTTGGGG